GCTCCCTATTCTACGTAAGTAAACCACCAAAAGATTTCCTGTGTTTGGGTAGTGCTTTGGCAAGTTAGAGGGCTCAAGCATTGCCTGTCTGGGTCAAAAACAAGCACACAGTGAAACAGGTTTGGTTTTCACTTAGCTGATAAGTTACTTTGATTGCCAAGGTAGGAGAAAACACTTGGACTTTATGTAACAGTGTGAAATCTCACAGGTCCACTTGTATCACTTGATAGTGTGAACCAGAAGCTGAAATATCAGGTGGTGGCCAAGTGCATGGGTGTGACTTAAGTAGCACAAAAAGCAGGCCTGCAATTCTCTCATTTCTGGCAAGCCATCAGGATGGCAGAGAAACTACGGTGCTTTGTTCCGCATGTCAGCCAAAATGGGTTATCATGCTGTGACAGACCATATTAAATGTACTTTTGTCTCAAAGGGACACAATTTATTCAATACTATAAAGCCCCACATGGGCAAAAACAAAACTCTCAAAGATCTTGTAGTTGAATACTGTGACATATTTTTGCTCTGGAGTTCATTTTTTTAGAAAATCTGAATTCTTTTTAGTGAATCTGCACTTCCTAGCTATTAAAGGAACTGTATCCACAGAATTTTTTTTTGCACTTCATGAGAACACAGAGAACATTAAAGTTCTTGATTTTTTATCATAATGTGATGAAGTGAATCTTATGCCCCTGCCATGTATTTAAATATATTATTCAAAGTAGCATGCCAATTTGTTAAATGAGTAAGTAGGGGAGTGTGCTAAACAAACAACAGCCACAGTGCCATCTGTTTTCTCTACACAGGTGTGCCAAGAAGAATTAAGAAATCTCCCAACGTACCAACCAATGACTCTGATTTAACTTGTAGCTTCTTTTTCCCCAGTATACCCATTTCCATTCCTTTCCCCACCCTGGGTTTTTTCTCTCCCAGTAATCAATCAGCATTAGATACTCAATGAGTGACATACTACCCTGTATCCCTGAAAATATATAAATTTTTGCTCAAAAAAACGCATTAGCGTTTTTTTTATTTTTTTCAAGTACAACTATCTACATTTATTCAAATACAGTCATGTCATCTTCTGGTTGCTGCACAATGGCGGAGGGCGGGGTTTCACTTGACTGGGGCTTATTTTTGGAATAGGACTTATGTTACGAGCATCCTGAAAAATCATACTGGGGCTTTTTTTCAGGTTAGGTCTTATTTTAGGGGAAACAGGGTAATATTCTTCACTGTGCTGTTTTGGGATCCACCCTCTTATGGTATTTTTTTCTGAAGTTTTTTAATACTTCTCAAAATCTTGGGATTCCTTTGAACCTCCGTATCCCCTCTCTTTTAAATGGACAGTGCCAACTGGACTACATACGTGTCAGCACATGAAAGATGATATTGCTGTTTGTATATATATGATGAAAACTTTAACTTCCATGATAAACATTTGTTAAAATGCTCTCTATTTTCAAAATTGTTTAAATGGTCATCAATTTTTTAAAAAGAGAATTACTTACCAATAACAGTGGTTCTGCATATTCATACTTGTGGAGCAAAGATCTCAGGTGCTGCTGAGTTTCAGGAACCTTCTAGAAAAGCTGTGCCTGCCATTACTGCATGACCATAGTCTTATGGCACTGGATGATGGGAACTGAGGTTACCAACAACCTCATCTTCTGCCACTAGCCTCAGAATCTTATGAAAGCAGCAATTTGGTCAATAGCGTTTCTTCTTTCTCCTTTGTGATGGTACCAAGTCCTTTCGCATGGAGACCCTTCGCAAGCGCAGCTTCTTTCTACCCTTATGTCTGAGATTAGAGGAAAGCAGAACCAAACCCTCCACAAATTATGGTAACTCTGAACCTGAGAAGAACTGGAAACTGAAAGATTGATAACTAGTACGAAGATCCCTTGGAGGCATGATGATTTGTGGGAACAAATTGTGTCAAGTCCCTTGGTACTTACCAATTCAGAACATCAAAACCATATGTATTCATGATGAGGTTTCCACAAAATCAGACCTCAAAAGTGTTGGATCATGGCAGTAAAGCCATTTGCCTCTGAGCGTCTGGAGACTCAGCAAAAACCTATTCTCATAAGCAACAGAATATTTTATCTGAAAGACCGATTGTGCTGCCTACCAAACATCTTTGTTCTAAGAAAGCTGGACATGCTTGTGCTTACACCATTCAATATGCGCTAGTCTGGCAATCTAATTAAATACAAAGTACATACTCATTGTTGAAACCCATCAACAGAAAACAAATTTATTTAGATCTAAGAAAGATAAAGTGGCTAGAGAAACATAACTTCAAACTAAGCAAAGATACAGAAAATAAATAAATCCAGTAACCATGCCCAGGGCATAGTAATCCAAAAATAAGCAGCCTAATATCACCCCATGTCATCTACACAACAGCACAAACACTTTCATTACTACAAACTAGTGCTAGTTATCAAACAAAAAGCTAGACTGTAAAAAAAAAGCAAAACAAACATAACTAAGATGCTGAACAAATAATACTGAGTCTATACTTTAAATTGTTTAATTAAAGGGGGGCAGCGGACAAACCAAACACTAGACCCTTATGTGGCTCATCCTGCCATGCGCATGAATACATTCAGACACATTTTTTCTTCTTAACTGAAGGTCACCAAAGCTTAAGCACCACAGAACTCTGCACTCCACAATTAGAACTATGCAGAGACCACCGTGACAAGGAACTTAAGATGGTCCTCTTCTATAAAAAACATTCAGTTTTAACAATTAGGTGACTTTCATAACATTGGTTAACAATTAAATGCAATGTTGTGCTAGAAGATGCCTGCAGTCCTGTCAACAGAATGACAGTATTGGATCCTGCTCAATCACTTCTATAAATGATGAGGACAACGGAGAAAGAACAAGGAAGGATCTCCTTTAATTTCGTTCATTATGAAGATAAAGAGTACTATATGAAAGACCCAGAAAATTTGCAATAACGCATTGTTTTGGGAGAGGGGGCAAACAAGTCTAGTCTTCTTGACCTTGTATATCTGTACAAAAATGAATGACTGAACAGACGTTTCCAAAACAATATTTAAAAATGATTTTATGGGATATGTGGGTATAATACTTTAAAAGGATCTAAACAAAAGTTTACACTTGGCAAAAAGATCGCATACGTAGGTGCTAACTATATTACAAAGAGACTGCAGTATATAGATACCAGAAGAAAGCTGAACAAGGACTTTTATATTGGCATCACTATTACTTTACATAGTACAATATTCTTTTCAAAGAAATGCACAAGTTTTATAAGGCAGAAAGACAATCTGAATACAACACTCTGTGGAAATTAGCAGTAATCTATAACTACATTATTATAAATCTGAAACAAATGTCACTGCGTAATGTAGGTTATTCATATTAATGTATAAACTCAAAACATTCTTCTCAATTACGACTGGGGAGAGGACAACCAATTGCAAAATCTGTAAGAGGAAAGTTAACAGGCTTCCCTCAAGAATGGTTATTCTCTCTGGGTTAAGTAAAAGTAAAGTCCTTTTATCATAAACAGTACACTCTTGTATTCTAAACACTTCTTGGCAACATACTAGATATCTGTAAAATACTGAGCAAGGGCATAACATTCTATGGACAGGACTAAATAAAAGTTAATTTAAGCCGGGGGGGGGAGGCATACATAATCTTGCCAGAACTAAGTAATTTTCATTTCCACCAATGGATGTGCAAGGCTGCTTGATTTTAAAAAGCTGAAATGTTACCACAGATTCTGAGCACTACAATGACATTTTAGCCCTTATTTCTATTGCAACTTAGCTAGAAATTTAGCTCGAGGCATACCATACAAACTTCTGTAAAACAGAATGATTTGATTTGATTTCATTCACTGATTTATTCAGGCTTTCTATATATTCTTCATATATTTAAGTAAAAGTGTACACAGACTGACTGATAAAACCAATGCAACACTTCAAATATTTACAGCTTAAACATAAGACACTTGGTATTATATTGTTGTATAATACAGAGCAATATACATAAGGTACATATGCAAAAGTACTGTGCAGCAAGAAAACATGCTAAGCTCTAATAAGCAAGAGTTGGCAGGTATTGGCCAGAGTATGAAAGTGTGTATGTTTATATGTACATAACACACCTAATTTAAAAACTAAATAACCTGAAATATTCAAGAAGTATATGGGCAGAAGAAAGAAGTGTAGATTTTTTTTCTGGATATGTTTATGATCCTTTATGGGGAAAAATTATAGCAGGTGATGCTATTTTTGTATTCCTGTGCTGTGAAATTGTACCTTACAGTATTTTAATAGGTTACTACTGAAGGCACAGCCACAAGGCTGGGGGAAAAGTATAGAGATAATTTACACTTGTAAATGTGTAAAAGCTCTATTTCATTTTATTTTTGGCATTTCTAGTTTGTGTTATCCACTGAACCGGGTAACTAAACTATTTCCTAATATGATGCTTCAACTGGACAGTTCTAGTTACCAATTAAAAAAAAAACACTCTGATAAAGGGACAGTTATGCTACATACTGTGAAAATTATGGTAATAGCTACAAAAACTATCGTAATGGATATGAAGTTAATCACTACTAATGAACAATGGGTCAATGGGTTAAATTGGTGTTGTTCCTATAGAGTAGACCACTGAAATAAATGGCAGATATGACAAAAGGTCCCATTCATGTCAATGTGTCTACTCTAAATAGAGCTAATGCTGGATTTATCCCCTTACATTTTAAGTTTGAAAACTCCATGAAAATATTTCAGTCTTGCAGTAGGTTGTGATTTTAATTCCCTATTTCAAACTCTGAGGTATCATTTTAAAATGAATTTACAAAAATTATTCAGAAATTTAAAATAAATTACACAAATGACAATAAATCTAAAGATGCAACTCTCTATATTACTCTCTGGGATTTTTTAGTAGATATATACAAGAATGCACTGGGAATCACTTTTATTTAATACAGATTTTCTTACCTTGATCTCTTTCATGCCATGTCCTACTCCCAGCAGCTGGTGAATTTGGGGATGGATAAAAGTCTCCTGTTGGGCTTGGTTCCATATTCTCATCTATGGATATAGTTTTGGGTCTCTTACTGTGAATATGCAAGAAACAGTATAAAAGGTCAGAAATGTCTGCCAATTTAAAGTAAACTATCCAGATGCAACCCATTTGCATCACCCACGTCTACCAGTATATCCTGATCCATCTTCTGATAATATTTAGTTAAGAATGTCAGATCATGATTAAAGAAAAACAGGTCCCCCAATCAGCCAGCACATAAAATATTGATCTTGGGCCAGTCACTATCTTTCAGATAAATCTATTTCTTCAGAAGATAAAAAAAAAAGTCAGAAGCCATGTGTACTGCCTTGAGCTACATGGAAGAAAAAAAAGGGGGGAGCGTGGTAGCCAAAATAAGCATACATTTATCCAGATTCTCAGAAGAACAAAGATTTTGCCTTTTTTACATTACAGATTACTAGATACTGTACATGCACATGAATCCTTCTAATTTACTCATTGTATTTCAATGAAAGATGCTGATTTCATTAAACATATATTGCAATATCTACTTAATTTTCTCAGTTCATCCAGAACACTGTCAAATATGTATAGTACTTTCAATTTACTGCAACATCTGATAAATACAACCATTACATTGTAGAAAAAAGTCTTGCTTCACAGAATTATTAGAGACATCACCATTTCATATAAGAATGATTTCAATCAAGTTATCCATGACGGGATTTTTTATCATAAACTCACCTTGTTGGTGGAGAGGATAGTGATCTCTGTAAGTTTACTCCCGAGTTCATGTCATGATAATACGGTTGACTTGGAAGTTCTCCAATGGGGAAGTTTACCCCAGCTCCCTGGGTTATTGGCGCTAAAGAATACAACATAAAGATAGTCACACACTTACTGTTATAACACATTCACAATGCGTTTTTGCCTAATGAAAAGCAAGAATAAATCAGTTCTTCCTTCATAATCTGAAAATGAATTAGCTACTACTAGACAGTTATGCATCTAACTAGTATCATATTCTCTCCAGTTGTTACTTATGAACGCGATGCAACAGGAGAAAAATGAGAATTACTGTAACAAGTAAAATATGCATGTTGCAAGTTATGATTTGCAATAATCTTTTTTAGTTTGTTATTTATTCCCTAGGCACCAACAATATAATGTGATGATCTTTAAACATAGCATAAACATATCATTGTCTTTGTTGATAAAACAAAATGCCCTCTGCAAAAGAAACCCTTTGAAATAATTTATGTTAAATGCTGCATGTATTCGTTTCATTTTCTTTAATAAGCAGAATCCTAGTGACAATTTATGCTTGTGCAACGGAAGTCACATCAGTGCATATCCAAAATGCAACCAGCACTTTATTAATGAGTGGAATAAGCCACAATGACTTCCACTATTTGCCCTATGCAAGGATAAATTGGAAATAGGATTCTAGTCAACAAACTGCATGCACTAAATTACTTATTTTGAATAAATGTGTGCATTATTATTTTACACTCATTTAATACAATGATATACTGCCATATAATAAAATTCTCAGAATAGATTATTTATTACTTTGAAGGGTGCAAAATTTTAAATCTTAATTACTTCGGGTCAAAGCATAATTCCAAATTATACCTAGAATGGTATTCATATTACAGAATTACTTCAATACAATTTTGAATATTTAACACTACCATCTTATGCAAATTTAACCAGATGGTAAGCTCAATAAACATAAGGGGATTTACTTTTGAGATGACATAGACAAATTCTGTTGGCAATTTACTTAGTTATCATGAAAGTAGACAGGTGGAAGAGTGCCTTTTTCACAAGAAGGAAGAGAAAGCATGAGAATGGAGATCTCATGTTAGTTGATGTTAGTGGCCCCAAATGCCCTTGATGTTGCCTGATATTCAGTGAAAATTATCTTACATACTTAAGCTTTACAATATTTATTTATTTATTTATTTATTTGATTGATTGATTGATTGATTGACTGACTGACTGACTGACTGACTGACTGACTGATTTTTATAACAGCCCTTTCGTAAAATTCAGAACCCTATAAAACAGCACAATCAATATGGGGTATCACTGATCCAGATCTAAAATCAATACAAGGGGGGAAAGAAAGCACAAGAAAGAAAGAAAAATATTATTAACAGCATCCAGGGATAAGTTATTAAAGGCAGTGTTATGTAATTCTGACTTCACTAATTTCCTGATTATCAGGAGGGAAGGAATCTGACCTACCTCAACTGGAAGCTTGTTCCAACTATTGGAGGCCATCACCAAGAGCGCCCAATTTCATAATGTTGCCATTTTTTGCTTCTCTTGGTGTGGCCACTTTTACAAGGGATTGGAAAGAGCAGCTGAAGTGGGTAGCTGTCTCCTGAGATAGATGTTCTGACAAGTACTGAGGTCCTAAACTATTCATGGCTTTATTATAGGTCATAACCAGCACTTTGAATTGAACACAGAAACTGACAGGGAACCAATGAAGGTGAGCCAAAACTAGGGTTATACAATCAAATTTGCTGGTCTCAGAAATCATTTGGAGCTTCTGAAGTTTACATACTATTTTCAAGGGCAGCCCCACATAGAGAACATTAAAGTAGTCTATTTTTGAGATTACCTATGCCTGAAACACTGTTACTAGGCATTTCTTATCAAGGTGGGGGAGCAACTGGGCACTCCTGGCCATGGCAAATATTTGCACCTCCATAGAGAATGCCAATCCAGGAATACCCCCAAGTTACGGATGTAGACCTTCAGGGGGGAGCATAAGCCCATCAAGGCAAGGAATTAATTGTATTGTGGTACTTCTGATGTGAATAACAACAGATCTTGTGAACTTCCTAAGGATCCTATTCAGAAGTTTTAAAATTCTTATTTTTGTCTAATTCACAGTTCAAGCAATAACTGATCTTGTGTTTAATAAAACAAATACATATATAAACAATTGATTTTAAAGTATGGTTAAAAGGGGGGGGGGTTGAGAGCCAGTGTCATATAATGAATAGAGTGATGAGCTCAGGAGACAAATCTTGTTAATCAAATCATGTTAATCATGGAAACACACTACATGGTGGCACTGCTAAAAACCACTCGTTAAAATCTTATATACCTTGAAAACCCTACTAGGGATGCCATAAAGGTAAAGGTAAAGGTTCCCCTTGACAATTTTTGTCCAGTCGTGTTCGACTCTTGGGGGCGGTGCTCATCCCCGTTTCCAAGCCATAGAGCCAGCGTTTTGTCCAAAGACAATCTTCCATGGTCACATGGCCAGTGCAACTTAGACATGGAACGCTGTTACCTTCCCACCGAGGTGGTCCCTATTTATCTACTTGCATTTGTATGCTTTCGAACTGTGCTTCATGATTCTCCACTTCTGGTACATGTATGACTTGTGAAATGACATGCTTGAGAATACACCAGTCCCAAAACTGTACTGTTAGTAGCAAGAAAGACATGGATTTTGTTCCTCCTTGGTGGTTGATATAAAGCATTGTAGTGTTGTTGTCTGTGGCTATTGGAATAACTTTGCCAACTACAAATTGTTCAAAAGCTCTCACTGTGTTGTACACTGCAAGAAGTTTGAGGTAATTGATGTGACAACATCTATCTATTGCTACTGCCTTATGAATTTGCCAGAATATTTTTTTTCCGGTTTTCCTCTCCTAAAAATGAGGTGCGTCTTATTTGGAGGTGCGTCTTATGGAGCGAAAAATACGGTAATTTCTATGGGGGGGGCACATGAAAAATCTAAATTGTGTTCGGGGGCTGAACTAACTTTACTTAAAAATAAAATGAAACAGTGATGTCATGATTGATTTTATTTTGAAGTTGTTAATCTTCACAAATACTAAAGAGGTTTTTTGCAGTATGTTAAAGATAAGCAACTGATCAACTTTAGACAAAAAGCTATAACTGGTTTTTATGTTCAAAACTGTCCGCTGGCCGGACAGGAGTGGCTCGCGGGCCGTATGTGGCCCTCAGGCCGCACTTTGCCCAGGTCTAGGATAATGTAATATTATGCGATCACAGAAATGCTGCCCTGACTGCACAAAGCAATTGCACAATTGGTCACACAGTTCATGGTATGACCAACTATGCAATTTGCCCATGGAAGTTCTTTGTAGATAACACTTCTGCCTTGGAGTGATAATAGCTACCATAGGCATAATGGTGAGTTGTACCCCTCTAGCTACTCAACAGGATTTGTTGCCACTCTATGACAAAATACAAGTCATTTAGAAAATGATGAACCATTATTATTCAGATAATTAACCAGCTATGAGAAGTTATTCTAGTGACTCCAAAATATGCGTCCTGTACATAGGTTGTATGGTAAATGATGTGGCTGACTGACAAATTATACATTGGCTTTGGGCCAGAAATGACAGTTATATGACAGCTGAGAAGCATGGAAGAAAGTTTATGAATGGAGTCACAAGCTGATTGGTCTATGGTTCCTGGCAGGAAAGATTCTGTTAAGAGTTGTGGATTACTGCTGTTAGTTAGAATCTGAAAGTTAGTTGGAGTGGGGAGTGAGAATTATCATAGTCTGTTTTATGAAAACTATGTGAATAATAGTGCAGTCTTCTCTCTCTCTCTCTCTCTCTCTCTCTCTCTCTCTCTCTCTCTCTCTCTCTATCTATCTATCTATCTATCTATCTATCTATCTATCTATCTGAAACACATAGTGTCTAAATCCCAAAGAAGTAAAGCTTTATATACGGAAGAAATTGACGGCTTGAAATATTGTTCTTTTGTTTTATTTTTACCTGTTCACATTACTTAATAAATTTCTTTTTGGTTCACAAATGCTGATAATTATTTTTATAGATAGCAGTCAGTAAATATAATACAAACACTGCTGGTCAGAGCTGTGACATATGGTGTGTTTAGTGTCACCAAGGTAAACAAAACTACATTTTATCAGATCTTAGCTGAGGCAGAATCACAACAGCCAAATCAAAGAGAACACTGACTGCTTCCCTGGGTTACTCATATGAGAGAAGAAGGTCCAGCTCCTAAGTTTAAACAGCAACCCCAAACTCACTGTTGGGATTTCTGGGATGGGTCTTTGGGGCATCAGCTCATGCAGAGAAGTTGAGTTAGTCCCACTTGTCAGAATCCTATTGTGAAATATCATGTGTGTAAAGAAAACTACACAAGCAGTTTTCTGCATCTGTCACATGACTAGGTGCATGTGGCATACAGCTCTGCTCTCACCTGTCTGTCACAGCTGGGTAGGGGAACCTCAGCCAATGAGAGGACGGAGGGTGATGCAGAAGGGGGAGGAGCTGGATTATATAAGGTGTGTGTGATGTGTGAAAGGGAGAGTTTTGGAGAGTTTGAAAAGATGAGAGAAGTTGATTGAGAGAGTGAGATAGATTTGAGAGAGATAGTCAATGAGGGAAAAGTCTGTGTGATCTAGTAATTGAGAACCGTGATTAACAACTTGATTTATTACCTGTGATTCACCCTTTTTATTTTGTACAAATCAATAAACACTTTATTTGTTTGAAAGAAAAACCTGTCCTTTGTGAGTACTAAGGATAGGTTGGTGGCAGCAGTTTGAAGAAGAGTAGTGAGCACTCTGGGAGGCCTGAGTTGACAGAGGCTTCAGAATGGCCCGCTACAATAAATTGGTGTCCAGCGTGTGGGATACGAAGTGGTCCAGTAAAGCCTTGGACTGGAAAGATGCCCAGAGCAGATCTTTAGTCAGGGACGTCTGAGTGGACGAGTAGGTAACCTTCTAGGACTTGTCTCACGGGGAGAAAGTCTAGTAGAGGGGCTCTGAAGCTCAGATTGGGGGGCTAAGATAGGGAGGCTCTGTGGTAACCATTTCTGGGGAGTGAGTTGCCCAAAGCAGAATCTGTGGCAGATTGGCTAGCTTGTCCTGAGTTCAAGGGAGAACTCTGAGGGGACAAAGCGGAGCCAAGGGCAGATAAGCTGAGGGGACTCAGAGACAGCTAATCCTAGGACAGGGTGAAGCTGTGAGTTTGAGTGGTTTTGTTGCCTGAGGCAGAGGAAAAAGCTCTGTCTGTGGTGAGAGGCCTAGCTGGGGGCAGGGGCCTAGACATTGTAGCTAGCTTGCCAGTGGATGAGTGCTGGAAGCTAAGTTGTAACACAGACACCCACTGACAGGAAAAAAGCGTGCTTTTTAAATTGATGTTTGAAAATTGAATTATAAGCCTGCAGAAAGAAGAATGCCTTTAACTAGGGGAAAGAAAGCTGAGCAAGCGCCTTGTGTAATGGCAGCTGGGTCAGATAATGAAAATGGGGATTCTGAGGGAGGATTTACCTCAGAGCAGGAGAGAGAGACCTCAAGGGAAGACCAAATAGATTTCAGAAGGTGGAAATTGGAGCTAGAAATGAAGGCCAAAGCTGAGGAAAGAGCCTTAGAAATGGAGAAAGAAAAATGGCCTTAGAAATGGAGAAAGAAAGAATGTGACAGAGAGAAATGGATAGGAATGCAGAACTAGAGAAAGAGAGAATGGCTTTTGAACTTAGGAGACTAGAACTGGAAGTTCAGGCCAACAATAACAATAACAACGGCAGAGATGATTCTGAGGGAAGACAGTTGTCAAAGGCAGACTTGAAAAGATTCCCAGTCTTTAGGAAGGGAGATTGTCCTGAATCATTTTTGGTGATGTTTGAGAGAGCATGAGAAGATTTTCAAGTGAGAGAATCTGAGAGAATGATAGTATTGAGATCTCAAATTAGTGGAGGCCTGGCCGAGATCTATGCTGAGATGCCTTTGGAATTAATTAAAAATTATGAGTTCAAAAAGTTACAAGAGTTTTTGTCCCAAAAACAATCACATATACACCAGTTAGAGGGTTTATGCTGTGCAAACCCAACAGGATTGTGGCCATTCTGGTTTAAAAATACATTTAAAATGATATTTTTTTCATGAAACAAGGTACATCATTTTTTGAGTTAGTTAATTCCAATCAAATTTTAAATACTTGATATCCTGGGGATATAAACCATCTAAGAAGGTAGTCCAGAGAACTGAGTTCACTGAGGCTTAACATCTTAGATCAAGATCTGACAAAAATTTTTCGCAGATGAGGTAGATTAAAGCTGTTGACAGAAATGGAACTGAGAAGGGACAACAACTGCTCCCACCTGCAGGCCTCAGGAACCCTCAAAACCTGCTCTGGAGTGCTAACATGCCTTCCAAAGCAGACTTTAAAATAGCTCCAAAAGCAGCAAGATGTGTGTGTTGTGTGGGGTGGGGGAATCCCAATCTCCTGTGGTAGAACATTAGAGTGATTTAAGTCCTGGTCATATTTAGTTTGTGGGACCCATTCTATGGCGTTCTGTTAGAAACCAGGTTTATTCAATATAACAGACCTAGAAAGTAAGTCATAAAGTAAGCAATTCTCAAAAACCATTCAGTAAACCTCTTGGGTTTCATGTTTAAGGTCTTTCACAGCTAAATCCAATGCATAGCCACATAAATATGTTAGCACTACAATCACTGTTCTGTTCAGAAGTCTTGTTCATCATGAAAGCAATGTACGTACATTCTTTGGTAAGATATCCTACAAAGGCATTCATGAATATATACTCTGATTTTTATAAACTTCTCATTTTAATGTTAGTCTTTTTCTTTGCAAACCTTCTTAGATTCCTGGAGTAGAATCTATATAAGCCATGACTGACATTGAGCCAACTGAATTGGTGATGTGTTTAAATCATTCCCAAATGATGTATGCTGGAAATCATTGAGCACTAGGATATATATTTTTAAATATTTCATTCCTGTAGATTAGAAAGAAAAATTTGAAAACTCTGCTCTGTCCTGGACAAGAATACAGGACTTATTATCCAGTTTTTGCATTTGAGGGCTTCTCTATGAAATGCTTTCTGCACGAACTCCATGTATTTTGCACAAAAAAACTATTTTTATGCAAAATCCTAGCTGTTTGTGCAACCATTCCCTTTTTTGCTACTATCGCTGCAGACAAAAAAAGCAGTAAACTCCCAGCACTTGCACAGCAGTTGAACATTTTTCAAATGTGTGTCTCAAGGCCAAGAATATTTCCTAACATCTGTTACATTCTTATTTAGGATTGCTCCAGATTGTCCTAACTTTGCACTGACAGGGTCTCTGTTCCTGGGGAAAGTTTGGATCAGGCATACACAAGCTCCTCCCTAGCTCCAACCCTCTTTGTTTCTGCTGCAGTTAATTCTACCAACAGGTCCCTGAAATGAACCAGTAGAAGGGGTTCTGCTGTATAAGGGCATTTCTGCTGCCAATGAGGGATATTCTGCTGGCAGAAGAAGCTTCTGACTATTCCTGACATGCTACTGCCAAAACATATTTCAACCAGAATTGTACTGTTCATAAGAAAAACACACATTGTATAAACAGCAAGTTTAAAAAAAGGAAAAGCTTACTTCTAGACACTCGCACCAGTTCTGATACATTGAAGACTCCAGATTTTACAAAACTATCTTCAAGATACACTGGAAGGGAAAAAATGTAATTAGCTCACTTTACTGAGCAAAGAATCTAATATTTTCTCAAGAAAACAATAAATTAAAATCCTCACTCCACCAACATAAGCTGTCAAAATATGTCAATTATTTTGGTACTTTGTAATATAAGATTAATGCTAAAATCCCAACAACATACCATATTTGCCGGCGCACAAGGCGACCGGCCGTATAAGATGACCCCCCCCCCACAGGAGAAGGAGGAAGAGGGGAAACGGGCGGGTGGCTGGCTCAGCAGCGCGGGGCAGCGGGCTCTGGCCGCTCAGGCATGGCAGGCTGTGCTTCTCTCCCTCCATCCAGACCGACTGCCTGCCTGCCTGCCTTCCTCCCCGGCCAGTGCGGCCCCGCGTCATTCAGTGCGCCCGGTGTACAAGATGACTTCCCCACTTGGAGGCATGTTTTGGGGCCCAAAAAGTCATCTTGTACGCCGGCAAATACGGTAGCTTTCCTTATTGCAATATAATAAAATTATATTAATATAAGACACACACTGGTGGGCAACAGAATATCTCACTGCACAGGATTACTCTTTTAGGTTGGACAAATTCCCAGTTCATATACTGTGATTTGTCACATCCTCTCTGCTTTGTTGTGGTTAATTTTGTAATGCTTACAAATTATTATAATTAATTATTTAACTAATTCATTCTACCATGGCATTAAAACTGATGAGACTGTGGCACTAATCATCACAACATATCAATTACTTTCCTTGCTTTCCTCTTCTCCTTACACATTCAAATATTTGGGTCCATATTTACCACATGGATCTGAAGAACCAAAGGAAAAGAAAGTACTCTGCCCAATGTTAAGGAAGTAGCATTTTACTTCATTTTAGCAATGAAAATAAATTTAAAAGACTTTCTTTTCCTTTACCACTTTCCCATGCAGAGTAAAAAAACACTTCTTTTATATAGCTTTCATATATTATACTTAGCTTAGAGCCTGTCTACATTTCTCAAAAAAAAGAAAGAAAAAGAAAAAAGAAAGGAAAAAAAATGAAAAAAACCCACAACATAGAGTGTTTTAATTTTAGCCAATTGAAGTCACATGGTTTTTGAGTAGTTTCCTGCTGAGTAATTGAAATACCCCCTTTTAAAACTGGTTGTAATGTTCACTATGGGTTTGAGTCAGTTAAAAAAAACAGTGTGCTAATATAAACAGCCTTCTGGTGGCCCTTTGTTTTAAGTCACTTCTTAAGAAAATAATATGACTCAGAGGAAAATAAATACACACTATGCAATTCTTTGTGTGAACGTGAAACTCAGCATGGTTTTTTAACACAGGTCAAATTCCAGATTTTTTTGTTGTGTTACGAGGCCCTTGCTCTCTTGTAACTCTGCTCGCAGCCCAATTTTAACCACTCTATTCTCATCAGACAAACATTCAAAAGAGCAATACTGTGAGTGAAAATTTGCTCTGCAAAATACAACAGACCTGCAGCTTCTATTCAAAATACTGAAGGATAACTTAAAGCTTAAAGCTGAATAACAATGTACTAAAAAGATGGAATTGTGCCACATTATACATTATTGTAAGCACTCTGCTTTACAATGAAGGTCAGATTCCAAAGGTGCCTTTGAGTACGGGAAAGTAAACACTATATATTCTAGCATCAGGAGAATTTGGCAACAATATGCAGTTAGTAAACTGACTTCCAGCTGTGTAATAGAAACATATTTTATATTAGTACTCTGCTGTGGTTTGGTGCAGAGGCAGTGAAAGATAAGTAGCAGAACATTCTCTCTAACATTTGAGCATTCAAAACAACTGTTACACATGTATGTGCACTGACACTTTAAGACATTGAATGTTGACATCTAAGAACAGCATTTCAGTTTCATTCATTCATTCATTCATTCATTCATTCATTCATTCATTTAATTAATTTATACCCCGCCTATCTGGCCCACCGGACCACTCTAGGCGGCTTCCAAATATAAAATCAAATAATAAAACAAAGACAAATACATAATACAGTGGGGTCTCGACCTACGAACGGCTCGACATACGAACGTTTCGACTTACAAACCGCTCTCATAGGAATATATGGACTCGACTTACGAACTTAGATTCGAGTTACGAACTCTTTTTTTCCTTTTTTTAAAAGCTAAGTCATCTTAGGTTAAAAGGAAAAAAGAAAAAAATATCCCCCTCTAGTGGCAGAAGGCGGAATAGCAGCTTCCCATTAGTTTCTATGGACGAAAAGAGCAGATACGGATTAAATGGTTTTCAATGCATTCCTATGGGAAATGCAGATTCAACTTAAGAACTTTTCGACCTGAGAACTGCCTTCCAATACGGATTAACTTTGTAAGTCGAGACCCCACTGTAATCAAACAAGAACAGCAGTAAAAATAAAAAGGAAAAGTAAGAAAAAAATCAAGAGTTGGCTGGAGGGAAGGCCTGAATAAACAGCCATGTTTTTAATTGGGTTTTAAAGGTGCCCAGCGTGGGGGCCGCGCGAATCTCCAGAGGGAGATTGTTCCAGAGGCGAGGAGTCACCGCCGAGAAGGCCCGGTTTCGTGTCTTCTCCTTCCGGGCCTCTCTCAGCGTCAGGCTCCGCAGCCTCACCTCCTGACTCGTGCAGGTGATCCGGGTAGACCTTGTTGGGAGGAGGCATTCCGCCAAATATCGAGGTCCTAAACCATTTAGGGCCTTATAAGTAAGCATTAAAACTTTGAAGTTGACACGGAAACAGATGGGCAGCCAATGCAATGCGGCCAGCGTTGGAGAGATGTGTTGATATTTTCTCACTCCTGTAAGGAGCCTGGCCGCCGCATTCTGCACCACCTGAAGTTTCCGTGTCAGCCTCAAAGGCAGCCCCACGTAGAGCGCGTTACAGTGATCTAATCTTGAGATTACGAGCGCATGCACCAAGGTAGTGAGCGCCCCCATGTCAAGATAGGGTCGCAGCCGGGCAATCCGCCAAAGATGGAAAAATGCGGTGCGGACTACCGATGCCACCTGAGTTTCCATGGTGAGCGTCGGGTCCAAATATATGCCGAGGCTGCAGACCCAATCTCCCAAATGTGAGAGAGCCACCCAAGCCACCTACCACGGGGGCACCCACCCTCAGAACTTCCGTCTTATCCGGATTCAGCCTCAGTCTGTTCTCCTGCATCCATTGCAGTACGGCCCCCAGGCAACGCTGAAGGGAAAGGACAGCATCACCTGCAGTGGGTGAAAAGGAGATGTAGAGCTGGGTGTCATCGGCATATTGATGACACAAAGCCCCACATCCCCTAATGACCCCACCCAGCAGCCTCATATAGATGTTAAACAGCATTGGGGAGATAATCGACCCCTGTGGAACCCCACAGTTGAGACTCGACGGGGCCGAGACGCTCTCCCCAAGCTGAACTCTCTGGGGGCGGTCCCCCAAGAATGAATGGAGCCAGGCAAGTGCCGAGCCACCAATTCCCAACTCAGAGAGCCTCCCCAGGAGGATACCGTGGTCGACGGTATCAAAGGCCGCCGAGATGTCGAGGAGGACCAGCAGGGAGATTTTGCCCCTGTCGGCCTCCCTCAACAGGTCATCGTACAGGGCGACCAATGCCGTCTCAGTACCGTGGCGCGGCCTGAAGCCTGACTGAAATGGATCCAGGGCATCTGTTTCGTCCAGGTGAGCCTGGAGCTGATCGGTGAGTGCGAGTGGAAAGAAACACATTTTTAAATATACTGCCTGATGATTTTTGCTTACGTCATCTCAACATTAATTCATAAAAGGCACTTAAAAGAATGCTTTTGATAGTTATTTCTAAATTACTCGTACAGTCAGATTCTTCAGTATTTAAATGTAATATGCAGTGTCACTGACTAAAGACCCATTTTATTCAAGAGATAATGGCATGTGGAATAGAGTAATTCACTAATTATTATCACTGCTAAATTTAAAGTCTGGAGAAAAAATCTGCCTGCTAAAATCTGAACAACATAATTTGTTATAATCAGAGGGTCAATCAAATTAGATGCTTCTGCATCTATAGAGCAAAGAGCTGGGAGAGGTTAATTGCATTCTTCTTTTTAAAAGAAATGTGAAAACCTCTATTTTAATACTACAATTATGAGATTGGTGTCATCATGAATACTGGGCAAAGACCCAAGTGTGGTGTGCACCCTCTTTTAACAGACAGGTTTGGAGCAAGTTGTCATAACACAGTTTATGAAAAGAAGTACCTGAAGGCTACACTGGCTTTCCAAAACGCACGCCACTGGTTTAAAGGGACTTAGGCTCTAGTTTAACCTTTACTTCCATGCTCTACTTATAGTTTTAAGAATACAATCCCATGTGTGTATGTTCTTTATGTTCCCATTCCAGTGTTTAAAACTGCTTTCTGATACAGTGGAATACTATTTTTAGTTAAAGAGACTAAGAACTTCTCCAGAAGAACATTTGCACTGCAAAATGTATGTGAATGGTCTCTGAAATTCCCTGTCTCTTTCCCACCATTCATACATCACCCCTCATGCCAATATGATAAGGAACTAACTGGGGTTTTAGTTTAGTTCCCACAATTTTTTGTCCCTCCTCAATGTCTGACTTCCTTCTTGGTACCACTTGCTTCCCCAGTCTGAAACATGACCCCTCAATTTTCCTTTACCTCTTAGCAACAACCTCAGCACTGCATCCCACAGAATGGAAGTGATAAGTACAGTGAATTTCATTTGGTACTATGGTGTTTCCCCAATTTAATGTGGAACAAATATATGAAGTGTCAGAGGTGAGAGAAGCTGTTTGGGGAGGGAAAAGACAACCAAGCGCTAAACGGATGCTACTGCTTGGTGTGGATGCCTCATGTTAAAGCTGTAAGCAGTTGGTTCTAGCAGGGGCTTCTTCACATGGAAGCTGCTGGTCTTCTTCCAAACAGCATCAATCAGCCCTCACCCTTGCCCAAGGGGGGAAAGTTACTAGAGCAACAGCTCAACAGGTGTCACACTGTTTACATCTGCATTAAAGAAGAAGAACT